ATGAGAGAGAATTATGGTTGCTTTTTTTCCCCTTATGGTTTTTGCAATCGGTATGTGTTATTTTTATAACAATAAAAAGTTTTCCTTTTAGATATCTTAAAATAATTCCAAATGTCATTCAGCTAATAAAAAAAGATGGGAGTGAATGACCATTCTTACATAATGTGTTTAAGCATCATTTTAAACACACAGAAAAGGAGGGCTTATCAAGAGGTCATTGATGGATGCCAGTGAGGGGATCCCTGTGTCCAGTTCTGGCTCTGGGACTTAGATTGAATGATGGGAGACTTTAGTCTAGTTTTACCTGTAAGATTGGTGAGGATGGTTTAAGTAAGGATGGGAAAATGGCTTCCACAAAAAGAGAAGGTGTTCTACCCATTTAGGTAATGTTGAAGTTGAACTGAATTTCAGAAAGCCTGTTAATGTGGCAAATATTTGTTACCACCCACAGAAAAAAAGACCCAGGTTTCCTGACCTCAAGATACATTCCTTAGACCTTGCAGCCACAGTAAGTCCTGCTGCGCTAGGGATCATGTGTGGCACTTAACCAGAGCACATCTTTTGGCCCTAGTAAATTTTTCAGGTGATGAACTATGCCCAGCATACATTGCACACCATTCATGCCTTGCAGAATCTTAGCTCTTCTTTGGAGTTTAATGTAAGAGACCAAAACCAGACCCATTACCTTCAAGTCAATTCCAACTCATAGCAAGTCTATAGGATAGAGTAGAACTGCCCCATAGTGTTTCCAAGGCTGTAAATCTTTATGGAAGCAGACTGACTCATCTTTTTCCTATGGAGCAGCTAGTGGATTTGAATTGCCAACCTTTTGGTTACAGCTTAATGCTTTAACCACTGCACCCCCAGAGCTCCTTTAATGTAAGAGAAGCAGGAGGAATAATGATGAACTTATTAGGAAGCACCCAACAAATGCTCATACCCTCATTCATTCACTAAAGTCCTATCCATGTGCCAATCATTGTGCTTAGCACTGGTAATAGAAAGAGGACCGAGATACCAACCCTGCCCTCAATGCTTTGATAGTCTGATTTAAAGCAGAGAGGAATGGACTCCTGGTTACCTCTTGGCTATAGGCTGTGGGAGCTATGAAAAATCACATGACATCTCCTGTTGATTCATGGGGTACCACAATAGAGATACAAGAAATATATAAGAAAACTTTTAGAAATTATTCGATTTTTTATTAAAACAAGAACATTCAAATAGTCATCATAGAGAAAGTTAAAATTTTGTCAGACTTCTTGATTAATATTTTAAAGTTTCATATTATTTTCCTTTGAATTAACTGTAGGAGACAGGAATGAGGTGAAGGACTACAATCTTTTCAGTGTTTAAGGCTCCAAAAGGTTTTAATCTGTCTGAAATGGGGAAAATAAAATTGTTGAGTTAACTGATTTGGAAAGAGCATGTATCATAAAGCCTAATACACAGTAAATAGGTGTTCAGTAAATGTTTGTGCACTGAATGAAACTCATCCTTCTGTATTTTCTCTTATTACCTGGATTTTTTTTTTTCACCCATGTAATCTTGAAAGCTCTGAATAAATGCTGCAACAAGCTTTTTTTAAAATATTGTTGGGCAGATGATTTCTAGCTGGAGTTTTCTGTGAGCTCAGCAAACTGTAGTCAGCAATCAAGAATTATTTATGGCCCTTTTTTTTTTTTTTTTTTTTACTGTGAGGGCTGCTGACTGAGGAATCAAAGCCAAGTTTATCAGCTTTGGAGACATGCACATCGTACCTGACAGAAGGCCAGGGTTACATGGTGTCCCCACGTGGTCACACTTTATCTCCTCATACATGTGATAGGTCTCTGTCACTGAGAGATTGCCATAAAGAGAACTCGTACGTGTTCCACTTGCCTGTTGAGGTGCATTGATCACACCAATGTCATATCCAAACTGGAAGGAGCCCAGCACGGTAGTGAAGACAGTGAAAACCAAGGTCCCGGTGACCTGAGGAGAATGAAACACAAGGCAAGAAAACACTCAAGCAGTTTCACTTACTCATCGTACTGGCCATCTGCAGCATGAACTTTTACAGGCTTGTTCTTTCCTCTTGCTACTCATTTACAGTATGCCCTGTGTTCCCAGCAGATGGTGTTCATATGAGAACATGAGAGCCATTCATCCTTTGCCTTACACTGCTAAAGCTGAAAGATGTTTGGGGCAGCTTGTTCAAGGCAGCAACCAAACATCTTTTACATACACATATATGTATGTGTGTGTGTGTGTGTGTGTATATATATGTATGTATGTATATAAATGTAGGAGCTCTGGTGGCATAGTGGCTAAGACATTTGACTACTAACCAGAAGGCTGGGCAATCTACTTCTGTAGTGATATTGCCTCGGAAACCCAAGGAGGGATCGCTATGAGTCAGGTCTGACTTGACAGCAGTGGATTTTATACATAAATGTATATATAAAGCAACTATAATCAGGGCAAAGACTAGACTTGTTGTTGATGAAAATAAACTGTCAACATAAGAACAGTCATTTGTATCAGTGGCAGACATCAAGTGAGACCCAGTAACAAAGAATTACCATCGTGAAAAAACTTCTCAGTACTCATACAAAGGCATCATCCAGCCATTTTCATGATCCACATCAATGTTGTTGTTATGTGTCGTCAAATAGGATCTGATTCATAATGACCCCTCTTTGGGTTTTCAAGGTGGTATCACTACAGAAGTAGATTGCCCAACCTTCCTTCTGAGGAGTGGCTGGTGGGTTTGAACCACCAGCCTTCTGGTTAGGAGTCAAGTGCCTTAGACACTATGCTACCAGAGCTCCTGTCCACATCAATACCCATGTATATACTTTTCATGTTTTCAAATATACTTTTCAGGGTTTGCAACTAAAATTTTAGCACCTAGAAATTTTGAACCTAGAATTGTGGGTTAAGGGATATTATTGTCTCTCCAACTCTGTCAAACAATGTAGAAAAATGGAGAAAATTTATCCCCTTCAACTTAGCAATTACACTTCTAACCAACTCCTGCTGTCAAGTTGACTCATGGAGACCCATGTGTCAGAGAAGCACTGTGTTCCCTGGGTTTTCAATGGGGAGTTTTGAGAAGCAGATCACCAGGCCTCTCTTCTGAGGTGCCTCTGAATAGACTCCAGCTTCCAACCTTTCAGTTAGTGGCTGAGCATGTTAACCGTTCACACCATCTGGAGAATCTCTAACCATACTAGAGAAATCACACCATGAGCACTGAGCAACATTCAAAAATATGTAATGCAGTATTTTTTTCTTAATAAATGTAAATATGCCAAAAGTACCTAACTGTCAATCAAAGTCAGTGCTGAAGATTCAGATACATCAGGGTATAGAATATTATGCAATTAAAAATGTGATTATTATGTACTGATTTCTTAAGTGCCAAAGAAAGTTGTATAATCTCATTAATGTTCTTTCTAAAAAGGCTTAAACATGAGTTTCTTTGATTTGCACATGTATGTATATAATTCATAGAAATTTTTCTTGAAGAACAAGTAACAAGACTATGGCATTTGGGGAGAAATATGAGCTTAGAGAAGGAGGATGAAGGGAATTTTTTTACTTTATATTATTCAACATTTCATAAGGAAAATATTTTATGAATACCAAAATTTATTTTTATTTATTAATTTTGTTTTATGGCATTGATCACATCCCCTGTTGTGTAACACCTCTCCTCCCCCTTCTTCCCTCTGGTTACCCTTCTTGCATATGCATTCCTGTCCTTCTTGCATATGCATTCCTGTCTCCCTGCCTTTCTCCCTGTGCAAATGCTGCCCTTCTGATCTCCCATGGTTGATTGTTCTAAGGAGTACATCTCCCTGGTGTTGTTGTTTGGCTGGTAGTTCTGTCTATTGTTTGGCTGAGAGTTAAGCCATGGACTGAGGTCAATTCCAGGCCTGAAGGATGACTTAGGGCCATAGTGTTATAGGTTTCACCAATCTATATCCAACCAGTAAACCTAGTCCTCTTTTTATGTTTTGTAATTTTTGTTCCACATTTTTTCTCTCACTCTATCCTGGATCTCCAATTTTGATCCCTTTCTCAGTGGATGGCATTCGTGGCTGTGCACCACCTAGTTCTTCTGATCTCAGGCTCATATGGCCTGAAGTTTCCATCCATTTGTCTTTGGACTAACCTGTTTCTGTGAGTCTTTGATTTCCTTCACTGTTTTTTGCTGTATACAAGGAGAGGCCAATAGTTGCATCTTAGATGGCCGCTCACAAGCTTTTAACACTCCAATTGCTACTCACCAAAGTAAGATGTAGAACAATATTTTTGTGTACTATGTTGTGCCAATTGAGCTTTATGTCCCCTGCAACCATGGTCCCCAGCCCTTAGGCTGAGCAACTCACTCCCTTAAGGTGCTTATTTATGGCTAAGAAGTAGTCTTAACTTTGTCCCCTGTCTGCTTTATACTGAATATGGATACTTTTATAAATACACATATATTTCATGTATAATAAAATTTAATATGTCTTTAAAAATGTTTAATACAGAGTATGTGATATAGTGAGCACTTCCTTGAATGAATGAATGGGTCCTATAAACATGGATTTCAGTTCCCACTCTTTTACATAGTAGATATGTGACCTGAGCCACTTTACCTGTAGAAAACTACCATCTTTTTTCCTAAATGGGAGATGACTATAATTTTCCCTACTCCAGCATGAAGAATAAATAGCTGACTAGCCAGCTTGCCTCATTCCCTAGTCAGGCTGGATGGGAGTGTCATCATCAACAAAGTATTATCACAATGCCACCCTGAAAGAGTCTTGAAGTGTGTTATTCCAGTGGCTCTAAAACCAGGGTCTCCTTGGAAAAATTGCTCCACATGCAAATGGGCTTCACCCAGACCTACCACTTGATTAGAATCTCTTTGGGTGGGTATTGGGAATCTGTAAGTTTGAAAAGCTCCCTCTCTTTCCACTAATTCAGAATTAATTATAGGTTGTACTTATGTAGACTTCCCTCTGAGCAACTTCCTTCCCTGAAACAAAGGACTTCAGAGCTGGCCCAAAGATATAATGATATGGTACATATGATATTAGCCAAAATATATATTATACATACACACACTGCATGGCCTGTGGTGTACCAGAGATTTTGAATTATCCTCTAAAATGTAACTGAACATCTAAAACTTATTGGTTGAGACAGCCAAAAAATGCCTAGGTAAGGTTCTGTTCATTTTAAAGTTTTCTCCTCATATCCTTTTTCCTCTCAAGTTGTTCACAAGGACATAGAATTTCATACTTTTTACAGGTGGTAACACTTTTAACAGTGAGGGAATGAGGGGGTGCCTAGAGAGCACTTTAACCCACTTACATCATAATCCTTATCAATTCTTTAATGTGGTCAATCCTGACTTTAGGTGCAATGAAAACATAGCTTTAAGGCCTAATACTGAATATTTATGCTTATTACATGCAAGGTAACTTGTCCAATGCTTTGTATGGATTATCTCATTCACTCCTTGTATTAGTCTTCTATTGCTGCTGTAACAAATGGCTACAAACTGAGTGGTATAAACAATTCAAATTTATTCTCCTACAGTTCTATAGGCCAGAAGTCTGGACTAAAATCAAGATGTCAGCAGGCTATATTCCTTTCTGGAGCCTCGAGTAAAATTTGGGCTGATGAAAGAATTTGGTTCCTTGTAGTTGTAGGATAAGGCCTCCATTTTCTTCCTGGCTGTAAACTAAGGACCATTCCAGCTCTAGAAGCTGCCACATTCTTTGGCTGGTGACACCTTTCTTCCATCTTCATAACCAGCAATGAACCAGTCTATCTTCTCAGGTCACTTTCTCTAACCCAATTACAGCCAGGATAGACTTTCCACTTTTAAGAACTCTGATTAGATTGGGATCACTTGGATAATCTTGGATAACCTTCACAACTTAATGTCCATAACCTTAATCACATCTGCAAAGTCCTTTTTTTGCTATGTAAGGGAACATATTCATAGATTCTTGGGACTCGGCCAGGGCCATATTGGAGGGCCATTATCTGCCTACCGTACTCCTCATGACAGTACCATTGGTACCCTCATTTTATAGATGACTGGACTGAGGCTGGTTATGGCCTCATAGAGATTGAATTGTAGAATAATGGTTTTGACCCAGAGCCTATGCTTTTGAATACTTTGTTATTCCAAATCCCTGATTGGTCAGAAAGAGACATGTCAAACATATCTAAAAATCTAGGATCATAATCTTTTTAAATTACAAAAGGAAACCTAAGACTTTGCATATCTATAGAATTTGGCAACTGTGATTCTGTTGCCAAATCACTAAACATCTACTATGTCCAAGTGAATTTTCCCATTACCCATCACACAAATCTCTACCTTTACCTATCTAAAAAGAACTTTTTTGAGTTCTCTGAACAAAAGCCCAAAGCAGCAAAGGCTACTCAACTGCTCATCTGTGGCTGAGCTGCAAAAGACCCTCAGGGCCTCCTCACATCTTAGCCCAAGGCCAAGATGTACAAGCCAATCTCATGCATCTCCTTTTCTTCCTTGTAGCAGAGTCTATAAGCATTTGGTGTCTTAGAGATGCTGCTTCCCACTCCCACTCTGCTATCTGCTGGCTCTCTCTCTTGCTGCCCCAAAAACACAAGCAGCATATAGTTCCTTTCTTTTCATTTTAAGAGTCTAAGCAGTGGCCATGCTAATGTTGAGCAGGGGTGCTATGGAAATGGGGTGAAGTGCATTGTGGTGGTGGGTGCATTGTATTTGACTCCTCCTAATCTCCATCAGCCTTCTCCTGCCTCTCCAAACACACAGTCTAAGTCACAACAGTATTAGCTGTTCTTATATTACTCTGGTAAAAGTCATTTTCAAAGATAGAAGTTTTCTCTTTGGAGCTCCTATTCAATTACATTCCAACCAGCTTATTTCTTCTAAATCCTTAGTAAAGCTAGAAATTCTAGAGCTACTCCTAAAATCAATCACTCACATTATAAGGATAGGAAAATAGCAACTATAAGTAAGATAATGAAATTTTTAAAACATTTGGAAATTTTAAGGTCTTCTTAAAGTCATTGCTCTGGTCTGGCCTTCCTGGCTTCTTTTTCAGAGTTGGCACTATTGCTGCTTGTCCCCTCTCCCCTGCCTGGTTTCTGGAGTCCTTACTTTTAACTATTTAAGACAGAAACTTCACCCAGTTCTCCAGGTAAGAAGCAATAGATAGTCTCATCTATTTCAAGCAGTTCTCTTGAATTTCTGAGATTTTCCAACTAAAGTGATCATCCCAAATATCTAAGTATGTTTGATTTCATTTCCTGTTTGAACTTCATGTTAAAGTGGCTCCTTGCTCCCTATCTTTTCTTTCTCCAACATTGTGAATGTAAAGAAGTGATATTCATAGTGAATTTCCTATACAGCTTTGGCACTAGACTTAGTCTGAGAAAGCTTTTGTTTATGAGAGGGAAAATATCTGAAACTACTAAGTCTGTTTTGGAGTGATGTACAGCCAGACGGCTCCTTAGATGTGAGGATGGCAAGACTTCGCCTCTTGTACTTTGGTTGTGTTGACAGGAAGGACCAGGACCTGGAGAAGAATATCATGCTTGGTAAAGTTGAGCAGCGAAAAAGGGATGGATTGACACAGTGGCTGCAACAATGGGCTCAAGCCTAGCAACAATTGTGAAGATAGCACAAGACCAGGCAATGTTTTGTTCTGTTGTACAGGAGGTCACTGTGAGTCAGAACTGACTCAGTGGCACCTAACAACAGCAACTGAGGCTGAATAAACCCCATCAGCCATCATCATCCAATGTAATGTCTAAGAGGCGGACATAAGAATAGATGAATATTAAAAAAAAAACAGTTGCCATCAAGTTGAGTCCAACACATGGCAAACCCATGTAGCGCTGTGCCATAGGGTTTTTGATGGCTTATTTTTCAGATGTAGAGCACCAACTCTTTCTTCAGAGGCACCTCTTTGGGAGACTCGAACACCAACCTTTTGGTCAGCAGCTGAGCATGTGAACTGTTTGTACCACCCAGAACTCCAGGTACAATAGCTAGTGAGAACTTAAGAGGCCCTTACTCTGACCTGAGTAAATGGTTTAGAACTTGAGGCTGGACAGAATAAAACCAAATCTTCTTGGAGAGCTTGTTCCACCTGGAGATTATACAAATTGTATAACCCTGTACAAACTCACCACCATCGAGTCAGATCGGACTCATAGTGACCCCTCCTTGGGTTTCTGATGTGTTATCTCTATGGAAGTAGATTGCCCAATCTTCCTTCCTAGGAGTGTTTGGTGGGTTTGAACCATCAGCCTTCTACTTAGCAGTCAAATGCTTTAGGCACCATGCCACCAGAGTTTCCACTTTTTTTTTTTTTTTAATAGGGAGGGATTATAACCATCATTTCTCATATGGGGATTCTGATCTATTTTTCAGCTGAAGAAAATAAGGTCCCCGTGTGCATTACTAGGCTCATGCAGAGTAAGAACTTAGTTCTCCTGATCATCAGTTCTGTGGAAATCCTACTTCTTTCCATATCCAGGTAGATTCAAAGCTGAAAAAAAGTTGTACTTTATATCAGTTCTCATTCTTTCCAGGTTCCATTATTAGAAAATTCCTTTGTTCTCTAGAAAAGGCCTATAACGTAATTTCCAAAGCCCCCTAAAGGAATTTAATGATAGTTCTAAATGAAGCTTGAGCATCTGCTATGTGCCAAACACTATGATAAATGCATTATCTTCCTTTTTTGCTGTGTCTTCCAAGTTTCAGTTCTTTGAGAACTGCCTTCGTAATTTTTGCCAAATCTACATACCATCTGTACAGTTATTAACTTAATATTTGTCTTTATATTGTTTTTAAAGTGCTTTAACTTTGTCCTAGGCTATACTATCTATCAAATCATAATTTACTACTTTTTAAAATACACATCATATAAATATATAAATATTAACATAAAAAATGTCATGTAAGTCTCCCTTACAGTGTATCATTGTTGTTGCTGTTACATGCCATCGAGTCAGCCCTGACTCATAGCGACCCCTCCTTGGGTTTCTGAGGCGGTATCACTATGGAAGTAGATTACCCAACCTTCCTTCCAAGGAGCGGCTGGTGGGTTTGAACCCCCAGATTCTGGTTAGCAGTCAAGTGTCTTAGGCACTGTGCTACCAGAGGTCCTACAGTATATCATTAATTAGCCCAAAATGATAAAGTACTATTATAATCCTGTATATTCCATATTGGAGCTCTGGCAGTTAAAACCCACCAGCTGCTCCTTGGAAGGAAGGTTGGGCAATCTACTTCCATAGTGATACTGCCTCAGAAACCCAAGGAGAGGTCGCTATGAGTCAGGGCCGACTCAACAGCACTTAACAACAACACATCCCATATTATATCCTTATATTATATTACAATATATTCTTACATTGTCACAATTTAGGAAACCCAAAGTTCAATTAAATAGCAACCCAGCTTAAGTAAATAGCATCGCCAGAACCGAAATCCAAGCTTGAGTGACTCCAAAGCCACTTACTGATGAGGTATGCTCTGCTTTGTCAGTAAAATTTGCCAGGCCAGAATTTATAGTTGTACTTTTACATATGGGGTGAGGGAGTTTGGTTAGAGGAAACTTACAAGGGAACAACAGCATTAAGCCCTTTTTATTTTCAAGTTTTTATTTTGAGAAGCATTAAATCTATAGTTGTGGTGGGCTCAGGTATAGTAGAGATGGTTAGGCTGGCACAGGACTGGGCAGTGTTTCATTCTGTTGTATATAAGGTCGCTATAAGTTGGAGATGACTTGACGGCACATAACAACAACAACAAATCTATAGTTGAAGGAGTAGTGCATAATCTTCACTTGCTTTCACCAGTGGTTAATACATTGGTTTAATATACACTGTGTGTGTGCATTGTATTGGCTGAACCACTTGAGAGTAAGTGGCAGATATTGTGCTATTTCATTCCTAAATTCTTCTGCACATACTTACTAAGAACAAAGAAATCCTCCTACATAATGACAATAGCATTAATACACCCAAGAATGTAACACTGATACACTAATATTAACATATCTATATCTATATATTTAGATATCTATCTATCTATCTAGATATATCTCTATCTATCTATCTATATATATATCTGGATAATAGATAAACAAACAAAAAACAATAATCCCTTTGACATCAAGTCATTCTGACTCATAGTGACCCTATAGGATAGAATAGAAATGCCCCACAGGGTTTCCAAAGTTGTAATCTTTATGGGAGCAGACTGCTACATTTTTCTCCCATGGAGTGGCTGGTGGGTTTGAACTGCCAACCTTTCAGTTAGCATATATCTATGTTTAAAGTTTCCCAACTATCTCAATAATATCCCTTATAACTGTTTTCTCCCCTTCTGTGATCCAATCCAAGATCACTCACTGTATTGAGTTATCAGGTCTTCTTATTCTTCTTTAATCTAGTACAATCCTTCCGCCTCTTTTGTCTTTCATACATTGAAATCTTTGAAGAGTTCAGTTCAGCTGGCATGATTTGTTAGATTAAACTGCCTTCTTTTCCTTTTTTTTTTTTTTGCACATGCCTTTAGTATGATTGTATAGAAGTACTTGGGAAGAAGTTAAGCAGACTAGTCAGAAAATACAGCAAATATCTTTAAACCCAATAATTACTAGATAAGATACAGATTTTTTTTTTTTTTTTAAAGAAGCCAAGGGAACTATTAATTGGCGAGGTAAAGAGAAGAAGCGTTTATCTGTGGTAGCTACACCCAACATCGCAAGAAACCTCTATACACTCATTGATTTAAACGGATTTCCTTATTCATTGCCTCAAAACTAAATTCAAAATGAGCACAATGCTGGTTTACCTTATCGTCTGTCATTTTATAGGCTGGGAGTCCTCCTCTTAAATCCAGGCCCTGTAGAGTGTGGCACATGAAGCTGAGCAGCCCTGCCTGTGTATCTCCTGGTCTGCACAAAGTTGGTTATATATTATAGAAGGAGGAGCAAGGAGAGGGAGGAGTGTGCTCACTAGCACCTAAGAGTTAAGAGTACTTAGTGAATACTCTTTGCAGAGAAGCTGAATATTCATAAGAACCTAATCAATAAATGCTTTGCCCCAGCAACCTGTGGAATCAATGCCTTTGTTCTACCAGGAAAGAAAATGGGAGCAGGTCCTTTAGGCGTAAGTTACAAACCTGAGGCTGTCACATTTGAAGGCATGTGTTAAGCGTGGAAGCAGCGACTGGGGAGGTAAAGAGAGAAATCCCTGGGTCTTTTGTGGAATATGAGACAGGCATGCTAGGCTGCTATGCTATGGAGTCTGGGGCATGGTGCGCACACTGCAGACTGCTTCACAGAGCAGTGCTGTGTGTGATGTGTGTGCTTGGGAGCTGGGCTGTGTGGCAAGAGATTACTGTAGACTTGTGTGCATGAGCTTTGGAGTGCTAGGGGTTTAGCCTTGAATTTCAACATTTTACTGGTGGTGTGACTTAGACAAGTGGATTACTGTGATTTTGCTAGGTTTTTTTCCCCATACCTGACAAAAGGCAAATAACAGAACATAATCTGTTTTATTGGGAGCATTAAATGAAATAATATATGAAAGTGCTTAGCATAATCCTATCACCTAAAAAGTGTTCAGTAAGTGGTTGTTGTTATTATTAAACCAAAAAGCCAAATGAAACTCACTGCCGTTGAGTTGGATCCGACTCACAGGGACACCTCCTTGGATTTCCGAGGTGGTATCTCTACAGAAGTAGATTACCCAACCTTCCTGCTGTTGTTAATATTGTTTCAGTGTGTGCTGAGGTTCTTGCTAGAGGTGAGAGTAAAACTTCATATGATGAGCTTGTGCCCATTTGTGCATCTTCTGGGATATCCAGTCACCATGGGGGCCCAGGCAATATGAAAATTCATTGAACTTAAACTGTTTGGGACTAGAGTCACTGCTTTCACTAAGGCTCCAGTAGGGCTAGTTTCCAGCACAGGAAACAAAACCACAGCAGTGAAAAGAGAGGTGGTTTGAAAAAACAGTGAGGAAGGGTAGCGGTGGAAGAGACTCAAATTTCACATGTCTTTAGTTTCACCACCTCTTTTCATTTCTATCAGCTTTGCTTTGCAAGATGATGCACCAGAATTGTCCGATTTAACAAGGTAAGTGGTTCAGCTCAAGCCACGATTCTTTACTGAACAGGGCAAAGTACCAGGCTGTGATGCACGAGATTAAAGAAGGGGGGGGGGGGGGGGAGAAAAAGAAAAGAAAAAAATGTTGCTAGGAGCTCATAATATATAAAGAAAGATGTAAACACTGCACACAAAACCAAAAAAACCAAACCCATTGCTGTCAAGTCGATCTTGGCTCATTATAGGATGGTAGAACTGCCCCATAGTATTTCCAAGGCTGTAATCTTTATAGAAGCAGACTGCCACATGTTTCTTCCACATAGTGGCTGGAGAGTTCCAGCCATCAACCTTTCGGTTAGCAGCCCAGTGCTTAACCGCTGCTCCACCAGGGCTCCCCAACACTACACACAGCTGGAATTTCGTCTCGAGGAAGCAAGGAATGATAGCTAATCTTTATTGAGCCCTTGCTGGATGCCAGGTGCTGCTCTCAGCACTTTACATGGATTAACTCGCTCAATCATAACACGACGTTATGTTGCAGAACCAAGCCTTGGGGAGCAATTTTGAAACCAACCTTTAAAGTGTCCAGGGGGCCACACTGATTTTCTTGCAGAGCTGTCTCCTTGCTTTCTGCTCTGCTCTGTGTCGGCTGGTGACGCGCACGCGTATTTTGTCAGTGCAATCTCTAAGAGCGCATTGCTTAGCAGTCATCTATTTTCCAAAGACTTGACACTGAGGGAAAGAGCCTTTGTGCCGCTCTTAGAAACAATGCATTATCATTAGCTGTTCAGCAACCTTTGTTTTTTGAACCTTCCCTTCACGAAATGGAATTTGCCTTGAGTGCGGTGTGGGGTAGGTGAGTCTTTAACTCAGCGCCGCCGGCCGGGGGAGGGCGGGACTTGGTTTAGCTAAGGCCTCTAGCTGTGCTCTCGCTCAGGGATGAGTCATCTCTGCAGCACTTTCAAAAAACCAAACCCATTGCCATCGAGTTGCTTCCGATTTGTAGTGACCTATAGGACAGAGTAAAATTGCCCCATAGGATTTCCAAGGCCGTAAATCTTTACAGAAGCAGACTGTTTCATCTTTCTCTCACGCAGAGGGCTGGTGGATTGGAACCGCCTGCCTTTTGGTTAGCAGCTTTTAACTACTGGGAGCCACGGAACTCACTCCTCCAGCGTCACTCAGGGATGTGCTGAAACTTCATCTTCGTATGTGTGTTGGGGGTTCATTGATACTGATTTAGCCCTTGGAGAACTGACGCTTGATTTCAGCCTCGCCGGAGAGTGCATTAGCGCCCACCCCAGGAGCTCAGGTCCTGCTTACACACACGGGGCGTCCTGGCGTTTCCTGGCAGTGCAATAATGTCATACCTTTAGCGCTTTGCCATTTGTAGGTAGGGAGACCAAGTACTCAATGAGATGCATCAGTGCCCAGCATCACCCCGAGACCAGCTGGGCAGGATGAAACCACATCTGTGGTGGTTCTTCAGGCCTCACGCTTTGGAACCCTGTAGGTCAGATTCTGATGACTTCATTAATTAATTTAGTCTCATTAGTAGATGCCCAGCCCTAGGTGGTGAGAGTATCCCAGGACAGAAAAAGACCCCCTTTTGATTACTCTCATTAGTATCCTTCCCTTTACTAAAATGGTAGCTTTTATTCTATAAATGGAAGGAGAGAACCCCAGTTTCCTTCACAAGATGCATTCCATTCTGATTGGGTCAGGTGTGGTGAAGGTAAAGGGATCTCTGGAACTAAACAAGTGACTTCACACCAGATCAAGCCAGGAGTGGCAGTGTCTGAACGTCTCAGGCCCTGATGAAGACCATTGTATTTTAAGATTTCTGAGCCAAATTTGTCCATTGCCCAGCTGCAGAGTGCCAAAGAGAGATGGCAAACTCTCCACTCCCTCTTCTCCCCCTCTCCACAGCTACCTTTCTGGTCAAGGCCAGCATCCTTCCTGAGCATGGCTGCTCCTATTCGTGCCCTACAGTCTCTTCTTGAGAGAGCCATCAAGAGTGACTTTAAAAAGAAATCTCCAAAGGTTTTCCAATTATCCTTAGAACAAAACTCACATTCTTTACCATGGCCTAAGAGGCATGATTTGATGTAGCCCCTGCCTGACTCTTAGACTTTCTCTCTTTCTACTCTACTTCCCTCTTGGGTCCAGCCACACTGGCCTCAAACTTGTCTAATGTCTTCCCATCCCAGTACCTTTGCTCTTGATGAACCTCTGCCTAGAACACTCTTCTTTAGATTTATGCATGGCTGCCTCCTTCTCTTTATTCAGATGACTGCTCAGAGATTTCTCCCAACTATCCTTCTTAAAGAGCTCTAGTGGCATAGGGCCTAAGGCATTTGACTGTTAACCAGAAGGCTGGAGATTCAAACCCACAAGCCACCCCTCAGAAGGAAGACTGGGGGCAATCTACTTGAGAGACACTGCCTTGGAAACCCAAGGAGGAGTCGCTATGAGTTGAAATAGACTCGAGGGCAGTGAGTTTCGTTGGTTTGGTTATCCTTCTTAAGGTAGATCCCATCTACTCCTCCAATTCATTCTCTGGACTGTTACTCAGCTTTATTTTCTTCTTACTACTTTTGCTTGAAATTTTATTATTTGCTTTTCTTGATTTATTCTTGTTTATCTCTTTCCCCAGCAAATCCTACCTTGTCAAGGACTTCATACCTGCAATTATCCACTTTGTCTCCTGCATCATTAACAAAATCCCTTAGACGCTGCTGGATTCTCTTCTTCCTTCCGCAGTAAATAATAATACCCCTCCAAAGAATTGTTTAGACTAGCTAGACTCACCGGAGAGTGCATTAGCGCTACCATCCTTTCACTCCTTAATGCACTTCAATTGGGTTTTATCCCTCACCACACCTCTGAAATAGCTCTTTATGAAGTTCCCAACAAACTATGTCTCTCCAAGGCTCATGGACAATTCCCCATCCATTTGAGTCCCCCTCTTTGTTTAAACATTTTTATTGGCTTAGTTACAAATAAGAGCTCTAGTGGCATAGTGCCTAAGGCATTTGACTACTAACCAGAAGGCTGGAGGTTCAAACCCACCAGTCACTCCTCACTCCTCAGAAGATTGGGCAATCTACTTCTGTAGTGATACCACCTCAGAAACCCAAGGAGGGGTTGCTGTGAGTCAGATTCAACTCAACGGCAGTGAGTTTAGTTTTTTGGTTTTTATTAAATTGTTCACTTGAATTCTCATTCATTGAGTGCTCTTTGTTTTCCAGATCTCTAAATGTTGTGGTAGCCCAGGGATCAGTCCTTGGCCTTTTTCTGTCTACACTCATTCTCTAGGTGATCTCCTCAAGTCTAATGGTTTTAAGAATCATCTATACTAGCACTGTAAAATAGAACTTTCTATGGTGATGGAAATGTTTTACATCTGTGCTGTCCAATAGGGCAGATAAACCATATATAGCTATTTTAAATTGGAATTAATTAAAATTAAAAATTCCATTCAGTCACATTAGGCATATTACAAGTGTTTAATATCCATTTATGGCAAATGGCTAATAGATTGGATAGGACAGACAAACAACATTTCAATATCTGTTCCCCAGCATTGCCTTCCCCCTCTCCAAATGCCAGGAATACCTAGCATCTCCACTTAAATGTCTCAGAGTTTCAGTCTTGAATTTATCCTCAGTAAACAGAACTCTTTCTTCCCCTGTTCTTTGTCCTGAAATCTACTTCCTTGCTAGCTTTTCCTAGATCAGAAAGTGGTACAAACAGTTGTTCCAAACCAGGAATCAGTCCTGATTCCTGTTTTCTTTAAGGCCCC